AATGGGAATGGGAACGGGACATCCCATAAATCCCCATCCCAATAAATCCCAATAATCCCGTTCCCAGAAAATCCCGATCCAAATAAATCCCAATAATCCCGTTCCCAAAAAATCCCCATCCCAAAAAATCCCAATAATCCCGTTCCCAAAAAATCCCAATCCAAATAAATCCCAATAATCCCATTCCCAGAAAACCCTGATCCAAATAAATCCCAATAATCCCATTCCCAGAAAACCCTGATCCAAATAAATCCCAATAATCCCATTCCCAAAAAATCCCAATCCAAATAAATCTCAATAAATCCTGTCCTCAAAAAATCCCAATCCAAATAAATCCCAATAATCCCGTTCCCAAAAAATCCCGATCCAAATAAATCCCAATAATCCCATTCCCAAAAAAATCCTGATCCAAATAAATCCTAATAATCCCATTCCCAGAAAACCCCGATCCAAATAAATCCCAATAATCCCGTTCCCAAAAAATCCCAATCCAAATAAATGCCAATAATCCCGTTCCCAAAAAATCCCGATCCAAATAAATCCCAATAATCTCATTCCCAGAAAACCCCAATAAATCCCAATCCAAAAAAATCCCAATAATCTCATTCTCAAAAAATCCCGATCCAAATAAATCCCAATAATCCCATCCCCAAAAAATCCCAATCCAAATAAATCCCAATAATCCCATCCCCAAAAAATTCCAATCCAAATAAATCCCAATAATCCCATTCCCAAAAAATCCCAATCCAAATAAATCCCATCGCCAAAAAATCCCGATCCAAATAAATCCCAATAATCCCATTCCCAGAGAACCCCAATAAATCCCATTCCAAGTAAATCCCAATAATCCCATTCCCAGAGAACCCTAATAAATCCCAAACCAAATAAATCCCATTCCCAAAAAATCCCAATCCAAATAAATCTCAATAATCTCATTCCCAGAAAACCCCAATAAATCCCAATCCAAACAAATCCCAATAATCCCGTTCCCAGAAAACCCCGATCCAAATAAATCCCAATAATCCCGTTCCCAAAAACTCCCGGTCCAAATAAATCCCAATAATCCCATTCCCAGAAAACCCCGATCCAAATAAATCCCATCGCCAAAAAATCACGATCCAAATAAATCCCAATAATCCNGGAATGATAAACAACAGCGGGAATGATAAACAACAGTGGGAATGATAATCAACAACAACAGGTATGAGAAATAACAGCGGGAATGATAAACAACACCGGGAATGAGAAACAACAGCGGGAATGAGAAATGGCAACAATGGAAATGATAAACAACAGCGGGAATGAACAACAACGGGAGTGATAAACAAAAAAGGGAATGATAAACAACAGCGGGAATGATAAGCAACAATAGCAGGAATGAGAAATAACAGCGGGAATGACAAACAATGGGAATGATAAACAACAGTGGGAGTGATAAACAACAATGGGAATGATAAACAACAGTGGGAATGATAAACAACAGCGAGAGTGATAAACAACAGAGGGAATGATAAACAATGGGAATGATAAACAACGGTGGGAATGATAAACAACAATGGGAATGAGAAACAACAGCGGGAATGATAAACAACAGCAGGAGTGATAAACAACAGCGGGAATTTTGGGAACTCCTCCCCATTCCCGCTTTTCCCAAGCTGGGAATTCCAGGAATTTTGGGAATGTCAGGAATTCTGCCCCACTCTCACTTTTCCTGAGCCGGGATCTCAAAGAATTCCGGCCCACTCCAGTTTTTGCCAAGCGGGGAATTCTGGGAATTCTGAGATTTTTGGGAATTTTGGGAATTCCTCCCTGTTCCCGCTTTCCCTGAGGTGGGAATTCTGGGAATTTTGGGAATTCTGGGAATTCCTGCTTTCCCCAAGCTGGGAATTTTGAGAATTCCTTCCCATTTGAACTTTCCCCAAGCTGGGAATTAATTTGGTGAATTTTGGGAATTCTGGGAATTCCCACTTTTCCCGAGCTGGGAATTAATTTTGGGAATTCCTCCCCATTCCCGCTTTCCCCAAGCTGGGAATTTTGGGAGTTTCAGAAATTCCTCCCCATTCCCGCTTTCCCCAAGCTGGGAATTCCAAGAATTTTGGGAATTCTGGGAATTCCTCCCCATTTGAACTTTCCCCAAACTGGGAATTAATTTTGTGAATTTTGGGAATTCCTCCCCATTCCCGCTTTCCCCGAGCTGGGAATTCTGGGAATTTCGGGAATTCCTCCCCATGCCCGCTTTTCCTGAGCTGGGAATTTTGGGAATTCTGGGAATTCCTCCCCATTATTGCTTTTCCTGAGCTGGGAATTCTGTGAAATTTGGGAATTCTGGGAATTCTGACTTTCCCTGAACTGGAAATTTTGGGAATTTTGGGAATTCCTCCCCATTCCCGCTTTCCCCGAGCTGGGAATTTTGGGAAATCCATCCAAATCCATCCAAATTCCCAAGCTGGGAACTTTGGGAATTTTGGGAATTGTGGGAATTCTGACTTTCCCCGAGCTGGGAATTTTGGGAATTCCTCCCCATTCCCGCTTTCCCTCAGCTGGGAATTGTGTGAATTTTGGGAGTTCTGACTTTCCCTGAGCTAGAAATGTTGGGAATTTTGGGAATTCCTTCCCACTTGACCTTTCCCCGAGCTGGGAATTCCGGGAATTTTGGGAATTCTGGGAATTTTGGGAATTCCTCCCCATTTCCCGCTTTCCCCGAGCTGAGAATCCTGGGAATTTTTGGAATTCCTCCCCATTCCCGCTTTTCCTGAGCTGGGAATTTTGGGAATTGTGGGAATGTTTGGAATGTTGGGAATTCCGGGCCGTCTCTCACTTGTCGAGGCAGGCGACGCTCAGGCACTTTTCCGGGGGCTGGNTGGGAATTTTTTTCCTGGAATTTTTGGGAATGTTTTGGGGGCGCACTCACGTCGAGCAGGGCGCTGTCCATGCTGAAGCCGTGCGTGCTCAGCAGCGCCTGCAGATTGTCCAGGCTGGAGTCGATCGTGTCCAGGTGCTCGTTCAGCTCCGACCTGGGAACCCCGATAAACAACGGCAACAGAAACCATAAACAACGGCCGGAATGAGAAACAACAATGGGAATGATAAACAACAGAGAGAATGAGAAACAACGGCGGGAATGAGAAACAATGGGAATGAGAAACAATGGGAATGATAAACAATGGGAATGATAAACAATGGTGGGAATGAGAAACAACGGGAATGAGAAACAACAGAATGATAAACAACGAGAATGATAAACAACACCGGGAATGAGAAACAACAGTGGGAATGATAAACAACAGAGAGAATGAGAAACAACGGCGGGAATGAGAAATGGCAACAATGGGAATGATAAACAACAGCGGGAATGATAAACAACAGTGGGAATGAGAAACAATGGGAATGAGAAACAACAGCGGGAATGAGAAACAATGGGAATGAGAAACAACAGCGGGAGTGATAAACAACAGTGGGAATGATAAACAACAGTGGGAGTGATAAACAACAGTGGGAATGAGAAACAGCGGGAATGATAAACAACAGTGGGAATGATAATCAACAACAACAGGTATGAGAAATAACAGCGGGAATGATAAACAACAGAGGGAATGATAAACAACAGCCGGAATGATAAACGGCAACAATGGAAATGATAAACAACAGCAGGAATGAGAAACAACAGCGGGAACGATAAACAATGGGAATGATAAACAACAGCAGGAATGATAAACAACAGAGGGAATGGTAAAGAATGGAAATTATAAACAACAGCGGGAATGATAAACAACAGCGGGAATGAACAACAACAACAGCAGGAATGATAAACAACAGCGGGAATGATAAAGAATGGAAATTATAAACAACAGCAGGAATGACAAATAACAGCCGGAATGATAAATAATGGAAATTATAAACAACAGCATAAATGAACAACAGCAACAGCAGGAATGATAAATAACGGGAATGAACAATGATGGGAATGATAAATAACAGCAGCAGGAATAAACGACAGCAACGACGGGAATGATAAACAACCACAGTGGGATTGATAAACAACAGTGGGAAGGAACAACAATGGGAATGGTAAACAACAATGGGAACGATAAAAAACAGCGGGAATGATAAACAACGGGAATGACAAACAATAACGGGAATGATAAACAACAGTGGGAATGAAAAACAGCGGGAATGAGAAACGGCAACAATGGGAATGAGAAACAACAGCGGGAATGAGAAACAACAGTGGGAATGAGAAACGGCAACAATGGGAACGATAAACAACAATGGGAATGATAAACAACGGTGGGAATGATAAACAACAGCAGGAATGAGCAACAGCGGGAATGATAAACAACAGTGGGAATGATAAACAACGGTGGGAATGATAAACAACAGCAGGAACGAGCAACAGTGGGAATGATAAACAACAGCGGGAATGATAAACAACAGTGGGAATGATAA